GATCGTTGACTTATGGAGATTATTGCGAGTTTGTGGACAAATTAATCCACAAGGTCGATGCATTTCGCAGTTGCTTGTGCGAAGAAGTCAAAAAGGCACCTTCCTAAGGGAAGTGATTGGTGGAAAATAAATGTGAAATTTCGCTAAGTGGTTGACCTCATTTCATTTGCCGAAAAAACAAAAAGTCCCTACAAATACACGAAAATGCATTACATATATATATATGTGTGTGCTCAAAGATTTTTGTGACATCCCCAAGAGATAGAACATAGAATAGAATTTGCTTTACTTATCCAGCTGGGAAGAAGGAAAAAGCATTTATTGGCAAAACATTTTATATCATTTTGGATTGGTTTTTAAGAAAAACTAAAAACCCTCCATAAATTCATAGAAAGATATTTATTTATTTATTTATTTATTTATTTACTTATATCACTTATAGAAGAAACTCAACTAAAAATTTGATAATCGAGTTCAATTGACTCTTAAAGTAAATCTTAAATTAATTAATATTAAAACTTAGTATATAAGTACAATAAAACAAATAAGGAAAAAAAAGAAAGAAAAAAAGCATGTACCCAATTAGCATAGAGCCACACCCACAACTGGTATAGGACCAAATTTGCAAATGAACCCCTATGCACAAGCTTGGCAACCGATAATAGTTAACAACAACTCACTTTCGACTCTTCGTGACATTTTAAGGCTAATAGCTAGTTTGAGTACGACATAGGTAAATTACGCGCATTAAGCAATGTTGCTTTAATGGACTTTAAAGAGTCCGGTAATGAGAGTAAGTGACGGAGATCATTTACGTTTTTGCAAACAACTCTGAGCGGGTTAAACAGCTCATAGTTATATTTACATTGACTAAGCTTAAGCAAGGTAAAGCGCCTAGAGAAGCAGTGAGGACATTAAAGCTTATGTCACCAAGTAATGCAGGCACCATTCATCAATAGCACCATTTATTACTTTGATTGCGAAGGAAATGCCAAGAACAAATCTACGTTTCTCGAGAGACGGTAAGGACAACAGTAGCAACCTATTTTCATAGAGGATATATGAGGTACGCTTATGGAAAATCGCCCCAGATACATTTCGCTTTTAAAAGCTTTTTAAAGCTTGGTTATAATCAACTCGGGCTCGCATCAGTCTATCTATGCTTACCTATACCTATCGTTCATAGCCTTACTAGCAATCAATAAATGATTTCGAAACCTTTTGTTATATACTCTGCGGATGTTTGTAACACCTAGAAGGAATTGAGATAGACTCACTCGTTGTTATTATTGATTGATTCAGAAAAGGATTCTAAATTTACCTGTACGTCTGTCTGTCTTGTTTTCTTTTGGTCAACCTATAAGCCGCCATTTTTGAGATATAAAATTTGATATACCGACATATTTAGCTCGGATCGAACTTCGTTTTCGCCCATTTATTTATTTTGAAAAGTCATTATATGAATAATTTATTTTTAAGTTTTAATTGGTGTTAATTAGCGACTTGAGTACATGTGTGCGATTATTCTTTAAGAAATTGAATTGAAATATCCCAAAGGGGCCTAAAGAGCTACTAGAGACTATATATAATTATAATCCGTTTATCAAAAGACTTATTATTCAATGGATGTCTCTTGGAAGTCGCAAAGAGAGGGAGTAGCATTTCTAGAGGTACGAGTTAAAGGTTAGCTTCTAACTTGCATGTTTTATCATAAGGTCTTTAAATTGTTTTTTACTTAGCGAATAGTTTGCAGAAGCGAACCAGGGAATTTTGTGTAAAACCACAAATCGAAAAACGCTTACAACAAACATGAAATCACCTTTGACTTTGCACAGCAAATATGCATGCATACATAAATCTCGAAAGGTTCTACATAAATTAAAGCAACACATATCATTTTAGAAAATTTTTTCTATTTATTTTCTTCTCTCCTTTAAAGGGCAAATGAAATAAACGTTAATTGATAGACAATTTAAACCTTTTAACACCAATAACATTAAAGCAATAATACGCGGCACTAGTTTAGTTAATAAAATGCAACAACAATGAAAAGATAATAATAATAATAACTAACATAAAGAGGTGGGAGCTAGTTTAACATATCGATGAATTAACTTCATTGGTTCATCAGACCATTAAATACATATATATAGAATAGTAAATGATTTGCTAACTTTTCACTCATACTAATAATATTCAAATCACTCGTTTTTTTTTCTTTTTATTGTTTTTTTCAATTGCAGCGTTGCGTTTGTATACCTTTGGGTTTGTATGCATGAATACAACAAATGTTTGACAGGTAGATACACCACCAAGTAGAAATGTTATAAATACAACAACACAAAAAAGAAAAAAAGAACCGTATTGGTAACAGAAAACCAGTAATCATTATAAAGAGTGTATAAATAAATTTTCTCACACCCTCGCTTTACTTCTTATTATATTTTTTACTTATATACCATGGGATTGTATACAACAACAAAAAATTAACCGTTATATTTAACTCTCGATTATTTCTTAGTGTTGACTTACAAAAACAAAAAAAAACAAAAAAAAAGAGTGAAATGAGAAATTAAACAATAACAACAAATATTATTAAAAAAAAAAAAAAAACCTTTTAATAAAAATTAAAAAAAATTATAAAAAAAAAAAAAAAAAAAAACAAAACAAAAGAGAGTGACAAGAAGAGAGAAAATTTTAGTGTTATGTGAATACACATGTGTACACTTATCTATACAGTAGTAACTAAGCACATGTATATGCTTAGCTGTTTGTTTTCACAGTTATTTGTGGCAAAAATGCTTACTGCTATTGGTTTTTGTTACCAAATCGGTTTTTTTGTTTTCTTTTTGGTCTTGTTTTTTTTTTTTTTTTTTTTTTTTTTTTTTTTTTGGAAATTGCATAAAGCTTTTCTATGACGCAAATAATTGCAGGTTCTCTTTTATTAAAGCGAACACAGACGCGCGTACATACACGCAGGCACACAAGCACATGATTTATGCAGCCATCGCATAGAGGATAAAGTGGTGGTTCTGTGTGTACACACTGGCGTGTATAGATATTGGCCCTCTTGCTAAGGCGCAGGCGCTTCAATTGCAACCATATGATAACGTCATTGATTTTTTGTTTATTTTTAAACAGCTCACTTGTCAACTTTCGTGTAAGTCAAAAAAAGCTCTCATATAAACAATGGTAGAGGACGGTAGGATAGTGATGATGGTATTGATGTTTTATGATGGCTATAAGTATGACGTAATAATTTTAAGCACAAAAACACATGCTTGCAAGCGCTTACACACACACACATTATATGTATACACATACATGCATATGCATACATATGCATGTATAGGTTGTAGACGAATAAGCTAGGTCGGGTCGTGTGCTTAAATTTTGTTCGTGTTATAGATTTCGCTATAAATATGTGTATGTATGTATATTACAAACTTAATACTAATGCAATACTATTTTGTGTTTTTCATAGAGAGCGAGAGTGTTTTTTATTTATTTTTTTGTTTGTTTTTATTTTGTTAGTTTAGCTGCTTCTTTATTATTGTTTTGTTTTCTACATATGTATGCATGCATATATATTGTTATTGTTGCTACTATTTTTGTATACAAACGAAACGAAATCAAAAGCTCTCCTCTAGTGTGTCTGTATCAAATCAATGCGCCAAGCACATTTGCAAAATGCTATAACTAAGGTGAGGCGCTACCTTATATTATAAATGTATTACCAGCTAGCTTTAGCTAGCGGGCCATCATCGCTAGCAAACCATCACCATTACCATCTTCGCCATCATCCTCAACAAATCGTCATTAGTTTTGGCAAAGCATTACCGAATACCGTGTCTACTAGCAAACGGTGAATATAGTCGCGTGTAACCGTAAAGATAAGTTCAGTCGCGTCACAGACGCCGCATTGTTAACATTACCGTTAGATAGTACGCTCTAAAAAAAGAAAAAAACTAACAAAACATTAAGTAAGAAAAATCAAACGGAAATTACTTAGAACATAAGTAATAAATATACAGAACCAAAATTTATTTAAAAAAAAAAAAAGAAAAACTTTAAGGAAAAGAACTTTTTGTCAAAACTTTCATTTTCTTCTATAATTAACGAGTTGAATAAGTGTTATATATACATACATAAATACATACATACATACATACATATGTACATATAAACGTATGTGCTATGTTATAAGTGTTATTTTGTGTTAAGAACAAAAGCGTGTAAAGTGTTGCACAAGTTGTTTTGAGAGAGAAACGGGAAAGCGTTTACTTTCATTTTCTTAAGAACTTCTTCTTAAACATATCAAGAGCGATGCTTGTTGATGCACTCAAGACTTTCGCTGTGAAAATTTCTTTAAGACGTTAAAATTCTTTATACGTTAAACAATCCCGTATGGCGTATGAGTGTTTTATTCTTTCTTATTCTTTCTTAAAGTGCGTGTAAAAATTTTTCAAAAATTCTTTTATAAATGAAAATAAAAAAAACGCTTGAAACTTCGAAAAGTTCCGAAAATACAACAAAAATAAACATTTTTTAAAATTATTATTGAGTTTATTATTAAATAACTTGTTTCAAAGAACTTGTTTCGTTGTTGTTAAATATTGTATTAAGTTGGTCATAACTTTTTCATATCTAAACATTTTTTTAATGACTAAAAAAAAACACAAAAAAACAAAAAAAAAAGAACAGTGCGTATGATTGATTAGTTATTTTATGGAATTTAATAAATAAATTTTAAAAACTTAAAAACAAGAAAATAAACAAAATACACATTTAAGTTTTTGTAATATTAACTCTCTTGTTGGTTTAATTTCAAAAGTGTTTCGTCATTGTTTCGTTTATACGAATCTTAGAAACTTTCCAGTACAACAACCAACGTCCTTGTGCCTCCTAAAACCTAAACCGTTTACATTTGAAATAAACAATAAGCTGTGTCGTGTTAATGTCTATAATAAAAGAACTGAACCACCACCACCACCACCACCACCACCACCATCACCACTGTACTAATTATTACGTCGTTTTGCTTACGTCGTTAAATCTATTTGTATGCGTATGTGTGAATGCATATGCAGAGAGAAAATATTTACAAAAAAAAAAAAAAGAAAATCTTAAGCAAAAGTATACACATTTAAAGAAAGAACAAGAAAAATATAGTATATTATTAAAGAGAAATAAACAAAAATCGAAAGATTCTGTGTTTGCTTATATTGGAAGGAAAACTATTTTAACCGAACTTAAGGTAAAGAAAGCAAACCGAAAACAAAAAAACTATCAAAATAATGCATTCATAGCCGCATTTCATATATGAAACGGACCTGTTAAGCTCAACTATCTGAAACAAAAGAAAAAGAAAAAAAAAAAAGAGGAGAAAAATCGTCGTGCTGGAGCTGCAGAATATTAGAGCGCGCCTGAGGGTTTTTAAACCTTCCACAGGTGTTTATTAAGTGTTTTTTTTTTTTTTGCGTTATGTGTTGAATGTTTACAAATCATAATAATCGCTTAACCGTGTTCCGCTCTTCTATGTGTGTAATTTTTGTTTAATTCATTCAATCAACTTTTTCCTTTTCGCTGTTTATACTTAAGTGCTTTAGTTGTGTGTTTAGTTTGTTTTTTTTTACTTTCTTTTTTTTTTTGTTTCTTATTTCTAACTTACTTGTGAGGAAAGTTTGCATTTTGAAACTTAACAATGCGTAATCGTTTGGCCTCCTTGATTGTGGTCAAACAAGAACCATCATCCAATCCTTTGAATTCAACATTGTCTGTTGTGAATTCTTTACCAACATTACCCGATACAACAACGACATCAACGGCAATTATACCCGAAATCAATAACAATCAAGTGTTACATACACAAAATCCTCATATCACTTCCACATCAGCCAGTATAACGATAAAATCGGAAAATTCTTTATGTGAAATCAATAATAATCACTTAAGTTCTCTCTCATGCGATAACTACTTTGACACAAGTAATACTAATAGCAATAATTTGCCACAAAAGCCGTCGGCTACTTTAATTTATCCATGCCGTAATTTATTTCCGGACGGTTGTGATATATCTCACAATCATAATTGCTCGACTTTCGTACATCACAATAGCAATCATAATCATCATCATCATCATCATCATTATTATGCGTTTGGAAATTTACCACAAAAATCACAATTTGATACACTCTGTCATACGAACGGTCAGAAGTTTTTATTCAAATCGGAACATTTAATACCGAATAACATTAACTATCAATCTCAGCAGCATACGGTATCGGCAAGCGGAACCAACGAGACTTCTTGGTCTCTGACAAATTTAAACAATCGCCGATTGTACAATAATAATCATTGTGGTTCGACCACAATACAGGATAATTATCCAAACAGTATGTATACATAAAATTATTTGTTTTCTTCTAAAGGGTTTGGTGATGGCATTCAACAATTTTCACTTATGAAAAATATTCAATACTCAAAGCTTATCTTATATATCTTAACATTTTGATTACAATTACTATCTCTCTCTCTCTCTGTAAGTGAGGAATTATATACACATATATTAATTGTTTATAAAAAAAAAAAAAACTTTTTTTAAAAACTATTTGGAAAATCTCAATCATATTTACTCTTATGTTATAAAGAAAATGGTTTAGTGTCTGTTGAAGAAACCTAATAAACATTTCAGAAAAAAGGTTAATAAGAGTATGAAGAAAAAGTATTTACAGCGAGACGAATTTAATATATACAGCGGGAAGGTAACTGAATATTGATTTTTCGTACCAATTAGCAGATTGCTTAGAGTGCGTATCAAATCGGAAGCATTGAACAATTTTGGAGAATATATTCGGATATTAAATTCGGACATGCCCGTCTTTCATTTTGGTTTATATATTCCAGATGTAAAGTGATACTAGATAGTTGGAGAAATTGCTTAGTGGGAAAAGTTAATTAGGAAATTTAGAAAGGAAAAAAAAAGGCGGCTGACAAACCCATATCAAACAACACTCGAAGCTGCCTTCGACTAAAAGGACTAGAGAAGAAAAGATCAAATGACAGAAATTTCTGCTGCTATGCAGTAGTAGGACAGAGACAAGCAGGCGCATATGGCTATAGTGACAAACAGAAAGAGTGGCTGACGAAAACGAAGAGAGAAATTCAAGTGCGTTGAGAAGATAACTAATGCAGATCAGTAAAAAAGTATTGCCCGATAAAGATCAAACCGAGCCGACCGAAACACCTATAGCAAATTAAAAAGTGAAGACATGAGATTAGCTTAGTTCCTTCGAAATTTTTGACATTTGAACGATGCGATCGGTACGGGAAAGGTACGCGGCAAAAAAGAGAGACTTTCAAAGACCATTCGAAAAGCTTATCACAAATTTCCAGTCGTCTGGATGTATATGCATTTACTTTAAATCGTACCTCGCGGTGATGTATATGCTTATCTTCCTAAGAAAACCAGATATTAAATGGCGATGCATGAAAGTTACCTGATTTTTTCTTTTCTTCTTTACATAAGGTATTCTTCGAAATAATAATGGCTTCACAGGATAAGAGCTTTCGTTCAAAATAGTGGGCAGCGCGGTTTGAGTTTTGCATTTCAATGTTCAATGAGGCAAAGCAAACGAGCGGAGGCAGACAAAGAAGGGAATGAATGTGTGAACAGATGGGAATGAATTGTTTGCACTTATTGCAAAGATATATTATATGCATACATAATAGTTAGATATCACAAAGCCTCCGGCTGCAGTTGTTACTTTCTAAATATGGGTATCATACCTTATTCTATTATAAGCCTAAATTCGACCTTTTCACCCCCTCCCCCCTTAAATGCCAAGGTCAACGAAACTTTTTAATTCTTCTCATTAACCTTCGAACCATTCAACTGTAAAATTTATTTTCGGTTATGACGAATGCACCCGTCCCCGTTAACATAGTGTAAAATGTTTATAATGTAAAATTAACTATTTATGAAAAAAAAAAAAAAAAAAAAATCCTTGCTTGTTGTTGTTTTTTTTTTAAATATGTGTATTCGTATTCTTTGGTGACAAACAAATTTTATTACATTGCTAAAAGCAAATAACATATAAAGATAAATTTATTGTAAAATTTCCATTTCCATTAAGGACAGTGACACCGTCTACAGCATTACAGATACAACAATTACCTCAACATGGTATCTCACATGTTGGTGCTGCACGGATCGATTCAGAATGTTTACTTTGGTTAGAACTGTAGATTGACATACAGACAAAGGCAGATGGATAGGCAGGCGGACAGGCAGGCTTAAATGAAAATTTGATACTGATCGAGAATATATATACTTTATACTATACATAGAAGGGAAATTGAGATGCACTTTTTTTTATAAAAGCATTGTAAGACCGCCTATAGGGTATACCGTTTGCCATTTTATCTGGTGAAAATTATAAATAAGCCAGTGGGTGGGTGGATTCGTCAATGTTTACAGCGAATTCGACTTTTCTGTTATCTATGAGATGAACTATATCCATCGTAAATAGTTAAGGGGCTAAACAAAACAAACAAAGAAAGGCAAGTAAAAAATTTTCTTGCTTCTAATCGTGCAAAAGTCTTTTTGGATAAAGGTACAAAAGGAAATAGATTCCAGGATTAAAGATAGTCGTTAGCAACCGAAACAAACGATTCTTCTTTTTTGTTTAAGAGGTAGACTAGAGTTTAACAAGTTTACTAATTTTATGTTTTCGAGGTACTTTCAAGATGTCCATAGGATTACACGGTACTGAAACGAGGCACTATATAGGATTATTTGCTCCGAAAACGAGTCGTTCGTTTCGTTTACGAGTACATGTTTAATCGTAAGAGTTTGTCCACAATTGCAAATAGGGCGAATAGACTTCGTAAGTATCCATTGCATTGTTGCAATAGTGTGACCAACGGGGATTTTTGCAAAGGTTTCGATTTTGATTTTCTCGAGGTTGGTTCGATGTAGAGGTTGAATGAGATTAGAATTAAAATGCGATTAGCATGGATAGTAGTAGTCCATAGAGCGGGATTGAATTTTTTCTTCAATCATGCTAACATAAGTTTGAAGGTCGAACGTTGCCGCCGTGCCGGCCATAATGAAAAGTGCCGAAAAAGAGGATTTGGTTCTTCTACTCGCTCATTACCCAAGACATTAGTACCTAACAAATTACTATTTTCTCTCCGTGTTCTTCACTTGGTGAAGGGGCTTTCAACTGCAATTTAAGGGTTTTACGGCCGACAAACTGTCCGTGTTAATAAGCATTGCTTTGGTTAGTTTAACAAACGAATTTGGCGGCTTGAAGAAAGGCTTTAGCTTCTATTATCAATATTGAGATGCTTTCATGTCTGACATAAGTAACGCGGATTTCACCTACATAGGCAGAGGATGGATTGTCTCCCTCAAAACTTTTAAAATCGTCCGCAAAAAGGCGATGCAAACCATTATTTTCCAAAAAGTGGAATTTTCGAAATTTTCATTTGTTAACAAAATAAAATAATATTTTCGGGCTTTTAATAAAGAATTTCTAGGATTTCATTTTGCCAAGACCTCAATTCCAATTTGAGAAGGTGTAATTCTCTCCATCTTTTTTTAGTAAAAAACTATTGATCCTAGTAAATCACACAGCACAGATTAGTAATGAATATGTGAACAGAGGAAATGAAGAAAATTTAGTGCAAGAATTTGGATCGTTTAAGATAAAGATGTTAATGGAATTCATCGACTACCCGATAATGTTTCTCAAAAATATTTTATTTTTATTTCTATTATGGGAAATGGAGCACATATCTCGAGATGGGGTCTCGGGATTGGAATTTTGCACTCTTACCGGTATATGGAGGGTATCCCAAGTCTTACACAAGGAACAATTTAACAGCTACCGGCTTAGTAGAAATGAAGCATTACATAAGAGGCTAACCCGTTTTCAAAAATACTCTAAGTTTGGCGGTCACGGTTCGCGAATTTCCTAAAAAACCGGGTCGAAATATTGATTTAACTTCGCTAACTTCTTGAATACCATTGGATTTCTTTTTACACGGTTATTTGAAATCATTAGTCTATGCCAACACGCCCACAATCATCCGTACATTGAATGAAAAAGTTCAACGCATTTATGCAAAACGGAGCATAGAAAATCTCGATTAAAGAGTGCGAAACCGGGGAGGCCCATTTCCTCTATGTGTAATTCCCTACCTGACCGTATCCAGTATACATTACGATACAATAAAAAAATTGCAATTGAAAAAAAAAAAATTATATTTTCTATGTAATTGAAATATTGCTCAAAATTTAGGAGACGACACCCTTTTGGGGAGTTTCACGCGAAGCTCCTAAGGCGCGTAACATATATGAAACGGCAATCACATATACTTATTAAATTCTACAAAACCAAATAATGCGTATATTGTTTGAAAATTATAACCAATTTTCCAAAAATGCAACATAATAACGCTCGAGCACGTTTGGTGAAAAATTTGCGCATAAAATAAAAAAAAAAAAAAAAAAAAAAACAATATGACAATTTACGATGTGATTTGTTCATAATAAAACAACAGCCGCAACAAACAAATCCTACTAAAGCAATGAAAAATAAATAAGAAAAAAAAAACACAAAAAACTCGTGAATTGCAATTACCATGAATAAGCGAATGCACGTGGTTGGTGTTGTTGTTTAAACCCCCTCAAAAAAAAAAAAAAAAAAAAAAGTTCAAAAAAGAAAAACATTACAAATGTAAGCGATACGAGGAAGAAACACATATATGCACAACACATAATAACAACAACAATTGTATATGTGCACATAGTTAAGAAAAAAAAAAAACTTAAGAAGTAAAAGCGGAGGAGAAAAGTACATCGCATGGATGGCAGCCAATTTTTATTTTTCATATCTTAAGCATTTCATAGAAAATGATAAAAAAAAAAAGACAACAACCAAAAAACAGAAGAAGAAAATTATGACAGAATATTGACGCAGGTGTTGATATAGATGTACTTGTATGTGTACGTGTTAGTACATATGTACTGCATACAACTACTATTGATCAGATGATGCTTAACGATCTTATCTCTAAGTGCGGTTGCTGTAATTCATTTTAAGCAGTACTCGCTGTGCATGTTTTTCTGTTCGGTCTTTGACAGCCGGTTTACCTGCTGGGCTTAATCACTTAAAATTGAAATTGCCCGCTGCCGTAACGTCGCCCATACATATGGTTAGCGTACATATATATGTGTGTATATGTGCATATACCGTACAATACGTATAAGCTAAAGATGATTACACAGATGAGATATATTATTTCGTCATAAGTTGCCACTGTTTTTATGCATCTGCTGGTCGTAATGTCGTCGTCGTCGTCGTCTTCGTCGTCTACTTCTTCTTGC